AACTGTGTTCTTTGTGCGAAAACTCCGATTGATGAGCAAAAACTGCAAAAAATGGAAAAAATCTATATTCAAAGGTTCACATCTCGAAAACTGTACAATTCTGAGCTTTGGCTGTGGACACTTTCAATCAGTACATCAAGAACTGCAACATATCAAAATTCCGCCAAAACTCAAGGCAAGCCATTTCTCATAAGGAATGTGCGGTGTCCTTCATCAAAATATTGAGGAAACATTTTACCATCCGAAACAAAATCATTCTTCATACTCATTGCAACACCGAAACAACTGTTAATTTTTAAAGAAAAAATCGCACTCGGTGAACAGGTAGAATTTAGATTATTTTACCTACTTGCTGAATTGTTGTCTGAAATCATTTAAAGGGATTGAATAACATAAGTTTCATTGAATCATGCGGTGCCCTGAAATCAGCATGGAAATCACTTGCTCATTGATATTTACTGTCAACCTGACAATATTGTTGAAAGATCTTGTTCAATCCCCGGACCAGTTTTCATTGCATTTGTTGGTGAAGGGGTGAGGTCTTATCGTGAAGCGGCCGCTGAATTTAATAGAAGACACCTGCTAGAGGTAGCTGTACACCCTGGAACTGTACATAAAATATATAATCTATTCGTGAGCACCGGCCAAGTAACAAAGGACAGAAAAATTGTAAAATATTATATTGATGATGATAGGATATTGGCGGCTCATCAAGCTGATCCTAGAATTAGTTTGAGAAACTTATCGCTTTAACTCAATATGAGCCGCAGTAAAATAAGGAGGTGTTTAAAGAGGCATAAAATGCATGCGTTCAAACCCAAATTTTTACATACTTTGTACGAATTTGTACTGATTACATGTTTACGTTCCTCTTACAAAATTACCATTTTCTCTCTTATTGAGAAGGAATAACTTTCCTGACAACAAAATAAAAAATAATTTATTTATGTGAAAACAAAAGTCGAGATTCTCTTGAACAATTTCGTTCATGTTTTGATGTCAAAACCAAAAATAAAATCTACTTCAATTATTACGGAAGATACGGGGGTGTTTCCATGATAAGTGAAAAAAATTCAGATTTTTCAGGACTGATAGTTTTTCAGGAAAAATGTGTCATCGTAGTCCTGATCACGAATCTGAAGGAATTTTGAGCCTATTTTGCCTCCTAATATGTTTTACCGTAAAAATGGGGTGTTCCATCGCGAGTGGCGGACAGTATATATCACTTTGGCCAACCCCATTCAGGTGGTAGGTGCATTTTAAGTATTTCCATCAGTTTCATCCAGGGAGTTTCATCGTTCTACCTCTAATATTACGGAAGATACGGGGGTGTTTCCATGAGAAGTGAGACACACAGTATAAGTTTTCATAAATTTTGACTACAGTTTGAACAATCAATTGAAAAAGTTAAATTTTCATACTCATCTTTCTTCACATGGACAACGTTTCGGAAAACAATTAAACACCTAAAAAATAGTAAGAAACAGTTTTTTCACATTTACCATCAATGTTACAGTTACTTTCAGTTTTGAACTATCCTTGTTTGGCATATGACAAAACTGAACATTCAGGAGTAGAGCAACATTCACAAAACATTAAAACTTTTTTCCATGATGTGTCTGTAACTTGGACTACCAGATCACGTAATCTTACCTCCTTTTAATCATAAAATCAGTGATAAATGTGACAATAAAATACATCTTTTGAATCGTCAACTTGTCACTTGGAAAATATGTGAGTTTGTGTCATAATTTCAAAATTCAAATGTCATTTCTCAAGGGATTCTATGGAGAACAATTCCCTCAGATGTTAATATTTTTCCTATATAAACTTTTTTACGGAAAGGAATATGGAGATTGATAACTCAAAATTCTAGGAAGAGCCGTTGGCTAGTCCTAGAAGTTTGCGAGTCCGAAAAAATTGTTTTCAAGCGTGTTTCGTACATACAATCCACTGAGATACATTTTTTGATTGTGTTTCTTTGGAGAACAACATTTTGAATATTTCAATTCTCATTTGTATTGAATATTGAAATTCAAGCAGAAGGTACTGATAGAAACATTCTGATTATCATTCATGGCGATATGTATATGCATATTGGAGCAATTACAAATATCAGAAAGATTTGATTTATTTGAACTACAAGGAGCCTACAAAAACTATGAGTTTTGTCATGAATTCAAATTATGTATCTTCATTTAGTTAGTCAAAGATAGACTCAAACATCTAAATCTGACTTTTAAAATCAATGCTGACCAACATAACCATTCGACAAGATATTTAGGCAATCTTAAATGATGAAAATGAAAACAAATATTGGGCAAAGTTTGATTCATTATAGAAGTATCAGTCAAGCGGCGTTGGGAAATCTTGACTCCTACCGAACAACGTCTAAAGTGGTAGCAAATTGCCAAAAACGGATCTCCTCAATAGGAAGAGTTAACAAATTGTCTCTGGTCTGGATTCCTGGCCACACTGGACTGAAAGGCAATGAAGCTGTTGACTCATTTGCAAAGATGTGTGCTGCAAACGGCTTCATCGGACCAGAACCTGTCATTGGCATCACTTTATGCTTTGCCAAACAAACATTGAACACTTGGATGGCGACACACACTGTCGTAAAAACGTAGAAACATTCAAACTAATCGGCTTCGTTAAAAACTGGGTTCATTTGGAAGAGTGTGAATAGGTGTAAGCCACAGTAAACCCTGGAGGGTTGCGGTGGAGGTCGAATAGACCCACTCACTTTGGATCTAACCGGATCTAAATATATCAAGTTTCACAGTGAGCTACCAAATGCTCCAGAAAAATTTATAGTACAAAAATTCCAGGTTAATTTATTGTTTGTATTCGATCATCTTCAAGAAGGAGGAAGCATCACAGGTGCATCATTCTTGATGAGCTGAAGACATAATTTGCGAAAAAACGGCCACGAATTAGGGTTTGAACTGCTTAATCATCCACTTTACTCACCAGATCTAGCACAAAGCGACTTCTTTCCATTATCTCACCTGGAAATTGCGCTCGACAGACAGAGATTTTATTCAAATGAAAGGGCAATCACCTTAGTGAACAATTATTTTGCAGAAAAAGACGCTGAATACTATTTGGACGGGTTATAGAGATGGGATCATCACTGGGAGGAGTGTGTGAAGTAGAAAGGAGAGAATGTTGGAAAATGAAAAAAAAATCTGGAGTATAGTAGAATGATTTATTTGACCACTTCATATACAAAATACAATAATGCAAGTCATATATACTATAGGTCTATTTCAGACACTTGAAATGAGCAACAACGTCTCTAGATTGAAGAAGTAAATTTTTCAAATGAATAAAATGAAGCTGGCATATTAGACTTCCTAAAAATGATCACAGTGTCACAGGCTTCATTACAACTTCACAACATGAATCATTTTTGAAAAACTATGAATTGACCAGCTACAGCAGCATTTTCTTCGATTGTGTGGAAACGGTGTTTGAGAAGATATCTCTTGATATTATTTTTGAAATTTCTGAAATCCAAAGATTGAACTGAGGGATGGAGATAGTTGTATAAATTCAAATTTAGGGAGTTTTTTTCACTAACTGCGAACCAATGTCTTGTATTATTCAATAAACATGCGGATCTTGTTGAATAATCATGATTGTGAGAGTGTTTCGGAAACATTCAATATTCTTGTGAATCTCCAACAGCACAACATAAATATATAACATGGGAAGTGGCATGATTTAAAATTGAATGGAAAGAGGACGACAGTGTTCCCTATATCCTACGTTTGCCATGATTCTCATGGCTTTCTAACATCTGAAAATTGTGATTGAGTTTGTGGAACGCTCCCCAAGAATACGTATGAAATAACTGCGTGGAATAGAGACTGATATGCTATCTTCAGTGTTATCAAACCTACATCATTTCTCAACTGTCTAAGAACAAATAAAACAGCTCACGAGTAGTTGCTTGATCAACTGAGTCTAGCATCAATATGAATACCTACAAACTTAACACTGTCTCCTAGAGTAACACTAGTGTTTAAGGATATCACAATATTTTGGATTTTTTTATCGTTCAGTTTCATTTTATCTGCTGTGAACCAAGTGTTTGCAAAGTTTTTATTTCTGTCCATCATGAGGTAGACTGGTATGTGATTTATCTGAGCAAACAAGGATTGTGTCGTCGGCAAACCAAACACTTTGTGTTGATGAAATGAAGCTACATTAGTCACTCATATAAATGATGAATGATAACGGGTCGAGGACAGAACCCTGAGGAATGCCATGACAAATTGGCTTCAAATCTGACTTGATATTGTTGACGTCGACGCACTGATACCTATTTTGAAGATAAGATCATACCAGAGCAGTGCCCCTTATACCATAATAACACAAGTTTTGAATGAGCATAGAGTGTATCTTCTTTTGGTCTGAAACTGTTCAGATCACCTCCGTATGTAGTGATGCGACTATATACCTACACCTAATATTCTGATGTAACAAATACTGTCTTTCCTTTACTCTGATATTTTTTGAGCCATATGTAGCATTCACCATATAAAAATGATTTCATTTTTCAGGATTTGATGACCTGCCCGGATACATTTATCACAAAAACTTTTATTTTGGTGCAACCATTGGAAGAACTACCAACTTGATCAGGAACAGCTCGTTCAACTTGAATAACAAAAAATACCCTTTGACGGAAAACCATCCTGACGGTCACCACAAACATGGTGGTAAACATGGTTTAGATCAAGTGGTCTGGAATACCTACGTTGAAAATTCAGAAGTGATAATGAGTTACGTGAGTCCAAATATGAGTGAAGGGTATCCGGGAGACCTCTACATACGAATTACTTTCGAATTGTCAGTCAGAAATGAGTTCAAAATCCAAATTGAAGCTTCGACTACAGAACCGACCATTGTGAATCTGTCGAATTTGACTTACTTCAATTTAGCCGGACACCAAGCTGGACCAGAGGAAATTTACAAACATATTCTCACTATGAATTGCAATTGTTTCACACCTCAAGTCAACGATTTGACAACCGGTGAAATCTCCAATGTGATTCACAGCCAATATGATTTCCAGATACCAAAGATATTGGGAAAAATCATAGGAATTGTACCTAAAGATGGTGAGATATCTAATTCAATTATCTTATCATACAGTCCTGTGTGAGAGCTATTTTCCGGGATATTCATCTGTGGTTTGCAGGTTTTTATGCTTGAAGTTTCATCTACTACTGCGGTATACATTATCAAAGGCCATGTGATAACTGTCGAAGTACTTGAGTTGTTGTTTCCGTCGTTTTGAACGTCGTTACTACGATCCGACTATTTGAATCTGGTTTTACATTGGGTTCGTTCCAACCTGTTACATTGGGTTACATTGTACGATACATCATATGCGCATTGAATAGAAACTGTTTCAACCAAAAGTTGAATAATACTTGGTACTGTTCGTTAAGCTATTCAACCAAGAGGTGTAAGATTCAGAAACCGATTTCGGTATTGCCATACTTTCCTTAGAGTTAGGTCAGGTCCAATATGAGTGTCTATTCAACCCTCCACCGCAACCCCCAAGGGTTTATTGTGGCTCACACCTATTCACACTCGACCAAATAAACCCAAATGAACCCTTTCAGGTGAGAGTACGGCTCTGCCGAACTCTAGAAACCTTATTTGGTCCCTAGCGGAGCGGACACAAAGTATGAGCTCTGCTGTTTCATCATTTTCCAAACAAAGACGACACACAGTCCGAGTCTCTGCATATGATGATTTACATGACAGTGACCTGTAAAAAGACCTGTTAGATATCATAGTTCATCCCTACTGTAGTCAAACAACTGTTTGGTATCAAGCTTCGAAGATTGAATAATTGCCTTGGAGTAAGCCAATCCTGGAAGATTCTGTCAGAATTTCAGAAGACCATAAATCTTCCTGCCATCCAAGTGTTCAATGTTTCAATAAATTGATGGATGGAGCCATTACTACGTGGTAGGAGATCATGATGAAAAGAGAAATAAAAATTTCTATGTCCTTTACCACTTTTATTTGTAACTAACGTTACTGCAGTTTCGTCTTATATGGACACTCTCAAACTTGAACAATAAACTAACAATGATTCATTACATTCGCCAATATATACCATTCAGGTACTTGATTGAGTACCTGAATTTACAGTTCACAATTCGGATGTGCCAATTTAAAAACCGGGTAGTAAATTAAATCGATTTGGTCATTTAACAGGTTGCACCCGCAATGTTTATGCTTGTGAATTTCCCAGGATTCTAAATAATTGAGTTTGCAACCCTTCCTTGCATAGTGCAGAATTTCCGTATCGTTTAGATTCGGAAACTTGTGGTTGCATGTGTAATACCTAGCGAAAGCTATGTATGGTAATATAAATTCTAAATTCGGAAAGAGACAGATTTCTTCAATTCAGATTATTTTTAAACGCCGTAACTGTCTCTCATAAAACGTTAAATTATGGCCAAGGGACCGAGAGTGTTAAGTACAGTAGCTGCCAAATTTTATTTGAATAAACCAAACACGGAAATAGCGAAAGGGTTACCAAGGCTTGATAGACAGTTAATGACGTATTATTTATTGGTGACCCAGCTATAAAATCGTAGATGTTTCAGTGGGATACGTATATATAATAATAATAATAAAACCGTGCCGGATTTACTACACATGCCAAGGAATGGTTTGGGAATGTCGAATCATTTTTTCCTACTCTGAAGGACCTTTCATGTTCAGCATACCGTTTTTGGAAATTTCCTCCGCATTGTCCCACATAAACACTATTACACTCCAGACCCTCAAGCTTGTGAACTCCAGATTTTTCCAACTTGTCGACCTTATCTTTGGCATTGAAAAGGAAATGAGATAACCTGGCATGCGGTCTGAATGCTACTTCCACATTGTTTTTTCTGAAGAATCCTGCGATCTTTTCTGTTCTTTTTCCAAAATATGTTAGCGTCATCCATTTCTTGATTTCTGGTTGTTTGACCTGAGGATGTATTAATCTGCAAGTGGATTTCCGGTTTCATTTCCTGACTAACTTCTGGATACTATCTGCGTTGAAAGCATCATTATGACCTATCTGTGTAATCGTATCAATTTCCCTAGGTAGATTGTCTACAGACAAAGGCAGTGAGGATGCTCTGTGCAGCATTGAATTGTAGGCTGCTAATTTATGAGTGTCTGGATGGAAAGAATCGATTGGGATGGTGATGTCTGTATAGCTAGTGTTTTTGAAAAAATTTAACTCAAATTTATTCTGATTGTGTGTAATGGCCAGATCTAAGAAGTTTATTCGTTTCTCTATCTCTGTTTCGAGTGTGAACAGAATGTTGCTATTGAAATCGTTCATGAATGTCATGAATTGGTTCAGCTGTCGTGTAGTTGCTCTGAAACAGGCAAAAATATCGTCTACATATCCGTACCAAAAATGAATATGTTTTTCACCCAGGTCGGAGTTTACTATCGTGGTCTCCAAGTTGTTCATAAATATGTCTGCTAAAAGTGGACTAAGGGGTGAGCCCATTGGTAAACCTGAATCCTGTTTATAGAATTTCTTGTTGAACTGTAGGTAGCTCTGATTCAGGCACACATCGAAAGCTCTTGAAACTTCAAAGGAAGTGATATGGTCTACTTTGGCTTGATCTAATATGTCTAAAATGAGGGGCTTACACTCGTCGAGAAAGATTTTCTCGAAATAAAACAATGGTTCGAGTCCAAATTAATCACGATTGATTTCTATAAGACAAAGTGTCTTCCGTTTTCAATCACCAAAACCAATTCTCCGGATAATTTGCTATCAATCACCGACAATAATAACATCTTTACTATACCCATAATCAAAAAATAAAATACTTGGGCGTCTACTTGAATAGTCACATGGAATGGGACACTCACATTAAAAATCTCACTTTCAAATTGAGATAGGAGCCTCATAGCAAAGTTTAAACATATCGAGAAATTTCTTGAAATCAGATATTTGAGAATTTTATACTTCGCACTGGTGGAATCACTATTGAAGTACGGAATAATAGCTTGGGGTAGTGCCTACAATAATCAAATGAACGGACTCGACGTACCCCAGAAATGAACACTGAAGATAATATACTCGAAAGATCGATTATATTGCAGTGATGAAATTTATCAACTAGCAGAAGTTTTAGATACTAAACAATTATTTTCAAACGTCTTGATAGTGAAGCAAAAAAAAGAAATATCCAAAAATTACTTTATGCACATATATAAAACTTGGAAAGAAGTGCCCTTCGTCTCTAACACAATATCCTAACGTTTCATCATATTTCCTCAAACCCAGAGTAATCAATGCAGTTCCCAGTGAACTGAAAACAATCAACTCCATAAGCCTGTTCAAAAAAGAACTGAAAAGTTGGATTTCAAACCTTTCAAGATCATTCACCCATCAACTGATCGATATAAAGAATGATTTTTGGAATAATACAATAGGACCAAAATTCTGTTCAACAGAGATCTTCGCTTTCATTGTCGACTGAATTTTCTTCAATGAAAAAGTATCTACTATAAATCTCAAATAGCTTCATTTATTTATGTGTATGTGTGTATATGTATGTGTGTATGTATATGTATACATTAATTGATCTTTCGTCAACATCCTTTATTATTTACTATCATCATTTCTCTTCATTGTTTCATGACAAGCATATATTTTTGTGGATTATCACTTATATTTATTCATTCATAGTTTGTTTCATGATTATAATACTGTGTAAATTATGTACAAAAATATCGTCAAAACCATTCAACTATCTGTTCAAATTATCATGTATCATGTAATTAACTCCGTCATTGGTTGGATAAATATATTATTTAAAAAAAAATAAACTCCATGAAAAAGTTTGCCTTTGTCAGACAAAGTCTAAGATTAGCTAAAGGCCCCAGTAAACCTTTAGAAACATCCTTTAGCTGCGGGTCGGTCCACCTTGAAACCACGGTTGACAGATAATCTAGCTCTTATAACAGTCATGGCTGTAACTGTCGTTTGTATTCTCCAAAACATGTAGAGTTAATCTTTTTTAAGTTTCAGGTTTCAATCAGAATCTGTGTATAAACCGGGGAATGAACCAAGAAGAGTGTTTCGTTGGCAGAGTTCTCCATCCCCCAAGCGGCAGGATGCTGGAAATCTACAGCAACCAGTACGGGGTCAATATAAGCACAGCCAACGAGTTCGGTTCTGGAATTTTAAAGTCAATGCAAGAAATATACGAGGAGCAGTCTATCGAAGAAAATACCAGTGAAACTACTTTGAAACTCTTGAACGACATTCATCAAAGGATGTCGGGTAACTTGAAAATAGATGAAACAAATGATTTCAAAGAACTCAAGAATGTTATTTTGAAAATTCGAAATATGGAAAAGAAAAGTCCTATAATCAAAACTCCCAGTAATACTCCAGTTCAATTCACAGAATCGAGCACGAAAGTTGCAGACTTTGTGTTCACGTCTCTGCAGATTTCTTACTTGAAAAATATCTTGGAGGTTATCGGACGAAATGAGTTTGTGGAAGATTGTGATTGGTTGAAATCGACAATAGATAAAATTCTCAAATATGGTATTATTCGAGATGGAGCGATCCAATCCAATTTTTCCCGGGAATCTAAAGGGGGCGTTTCGTCAAGCAAAACACATTCTTTTTCTCCAAAGAAATCCATCAACGAGAACAAAATTCCTTTGTACTACAAAAACACCAATCAAGTCGTCGGGAAAGAGAGGAAAATTTATAGGATGCATGGAGGAATTGCTATTCAGACGCAAAACTATCCGGGATGTGAAAGTTTCAAAAGTTTTCCAACTTGCGTTCTCAATCCAAATGAAAATTACAAGCATACAATAACTTATAAGTTCTGGATAAGAGCTGGGAATCCTAACAGATGGGTCAAACGGAATATGACGGCAGCTGAACTCAGAAATCAAAAAGAAACACTTCGATAGGGATTTTCCTGTTCAGATTTCTCTGTGCTTCATTTGACTTGTATGTTTTTCTTCCCGAAATTTTCTGCAGTTGAAATGAAATTATATTTTATATTCACAAACAAAGCTACAGAGCTTTTTGTTATTTTCACTTCATTTCATTTGAAGACAACTTGTTTAGAGCTCAGGAAGTTCTCGGAGTCATGTATATTTTCTTCTCTGAAATTGTTTTGTACTACAAAATACAGGGTGAAGCGCGGTGACCGTCAGTTAGCCGTATTTTGAGAAATAATAGGATTCATATTCTGGAATTTGGCAAATATAGACTTTTCAATACATTTTATAATGGAGTGTCTGGAACACTTTCAGTTACACCGGCTCTCGAGTGATACACCGATAAAATTCAAAAATTTGATAGATATCTTTCGGAAATTGCTCATCGAAAAATAAGAAAATGGAATGACGATCTTCAAAATGATGTTCTACTCACCCGACATAAATACATAGAAAAATCACCTATCACCTATAAACATTGATATGAGAGAGGCCTTGACTTTCCACTTTCCACAAAAAAATTTCGGTATCTTCCAATGAAATGAAGAAATCGATCAGTTTCGATAATCGATCGACCTAATTTTCGGCAAATTATTTGGAATCATCCTGAAAAATAGGCTTCATGAGTATTTTCATAAGTACAAGCTACTCAACAATAACCAATTCGGATTCAGGAAATCATCCTTCACAATAAGTGCGGTTAAGAAAGTAATTGAAAACATAATAACTTGCTTTGAAAAAGGAGAACACCCTATTGCTGCTTTAGTGATCTAACAAAAGCATTGGATTCAGACTCCCATTCTATTCTATTCTTTTTTTTTTTATATCTGACAAACAGATACGGATATGTGTCAATTGAATCGAACAATGTCTCCGACTTGAAACCAGTTACATGTGGAGTTCCCCAAGGCTCGGTTCTGGGCCTCTTTCATTCATGATCTATATAAGTGATCTGTTTTCCTTTCGCCGATGATACTACTCTTACGTCATTCGGAAAAATCAAGGGTGCGCGATATAAATCAAATTCAAAAGAATGCTGACATATGCTTCAAAAGAGATAATCTAATGTTGAACGAGAATAAAACTCAACATATCAATTTTACATCAACCACCTCTTGGGTTGAAGGACACAGTGTTAAACTCTTAGGCATACATCTAGATGATAATTTGAACTAGTTACAGCACACTGAACAACTTAGCATTAAACTGTCGAAATACACATTTCTTCTTCGGAAATTGATAGAAATAATCTCTCAACAGGCGCTATCATCAGCTTACTAGGCTTTTTTCCATTCTCACATCTCATATGGAACAATTCTCTGGGGAAACGCAAATAGGATATTTCTGTTACAAAAAAGGCCGTGAGATGATTATCTGGGGCTGATTTCTTAGACTCTTGTGGACTTTTGATATTTTGATAGATATTCATAAAAATGAATCAACATTAAACAGACATTGATTTCCACGATCATGATGTGATTTGTTGAGGGTTGAGGGATTCAGACTGAAAAAGTCAAGCAGAAACTCTATCGATATCAACTTAATACAATATTCTACTTCCCCATGTCGAAAAGATAAATCAATATTTGTTCAAAAAGTATCTGAAATATCTATTGATTCAAAATTGTGTTTATTCTAGTTTATTCCGTTCCAGAGAAACACAAATAAACTTCTAAACAGTATAATATTCATTCTTGGGCAATAATATGTGTGACTGTGTGTGTGACTTATTCTATTTTCATCTTATTTACATCTTATTTGTTTACATCTAGAAGATCAATGAATCATCTTAAATGATCTACTATATTATATAGCAATGATATCTGTGAATGATATCTGATTCAGTTCTATAGGTGTCTTCCATATAATTCAGTTTGATTCAAATTTTTTTCTGTCGTGTAATTCATCCAGTTTGTGTCTGGAAATTACCCGTTTGTATGATTCACAATTCCTGCAGGAAGTTAAGTGTTTGTAATTGTTTGCTTTCTTTCTATAAAATATTGTTTCATTTTTTTCTATGAAGATGGAAAAGTAAAAAGCCAAAACCTTTTTTTTCAGAAACCAATCTCTCATCTCAAAAATATACTCATTCCAATCCAATTGCTATAAAGTTTCGATTCGTATCCGCTAAAATTCTTCAATTCCTATCTCACGAATAGGTCTCATTTTGTTGAATACAGAGGACACAAATCTGATGAAAACAATGCTCAGTGACGCTCCACAGGGAAGCATCCTAGCTCTCCTATTCTTCCTGTTCATCAACGACATAGGATCAGATAAAGATAGCAACATTCTATAATTTGCTGATGATCTGAAGGTTCTTCATGTCATAGAGTCACCTAATGACAATGAAATACTACAAAATGACTTGATAAATTAGCTCTCTGGTGTTATTGAAACAATCTTCCACTCAATTTGAGAAAATGTAAATATACACCTTTTGTAACAAACATACCACTATTGACCACAATTATTCGATAAATAATTATTCACTGGAAAAAACAGACTTGGAACTATTCCTTGACATCAAACTCTCATTCGCCACCTCATACGGGGAGAAGTGTAACTGCTGCGGAAAAATTATTAGGGCAACGGTTTATGAAATATGTTATATTCAACCTAGATAATGTCTACCCCAGACAGGAAATAGATCACTTATTATTATCGCGGATTCATATACAAACTGGTGAACAATCTTGTTAGCTCACCAAAACTAGTGTCTCAACTAGAGTTTCATGTGCCAACTATCAGTGGTAGAATTGAACTATGTTTTTATCTACCAACAACGAGAACCAATAATATGTTCTTCAAATATCTCTTATTTGCAATGCGCTATGAATTCAATCTACTGTGTCAGAAAGTAGATATTTATTCAACACCATTGGATATTTTCAAAAAAAGAGATAAACACTATTCTGTTTGCGACGCAACAAATACTTATTAATTTTTTTTATGAAAGTATTACTGTTACGGTATACGTATATTTTTCATATTTAACACTTTTATCCCAAAACTGTGTATTGTTTTCATAATCGTCAAACACTTACTTGAAATTTGTTATTTTTTTCCTTTATTTTCTTTAAAATAATCAATGAATGTATTATTACTATTATGATATGTATATATTCCCTTTATTCAACACCTTCATCGCAAAATTTATTACTGTGACCTGTAATTGAGTCCAGTGCCTGTTTGGACAATTAACTTCCTGACTCCGCCTAGATTCAAGACAGAATTTGCACCTGCATCATCTCAATATAGGGTTATAGTCTGTAGGAAGTCAATTCGAACAGCTAAATAGGAGACGGATGTGCCGAGTCTGATAAATTCAATGGTTAATATTATATAAAACCTCCCACATGAAAATAATGATAAGACTTTGTGAGAAACTGTCGATGTTCGGTAACTATTTGGTTTATTCGAATTGACTTCGTATGTATTTTCATACTTACAAACTATACTTTGGAATGAAAGAGAACTTGGTATTGTGTGTATTTATTCTATATATCTATCTGATGTGTCACTATATTTTACAAATCGTTAAAAATTATGTACAGAGAAACAAATACTACACATTGTATCTATATATTATTCTATAATAGATTAGTGAAGGCACATTTTACGTGTATCTACTTCAATACACGTTTTCCACATAGAGAATAACATTAATAAATCATAACATAGATTAACATTCTCTTTTACGCATTTTAGAAGGGAAATGGGAAATGCAGTGAATTGTTTTGGATATTTCGTGCTTCTTTTTTGTTTGACTTGTCGAAGGATCATCGTTACATTGATATATTTCAATTCTCACGTCAATGGCTTCGATAAAATAGTGGTTCCATTAAGCATTTTGTTTTTTTTTGTCATCCTTTCTACTAGTATTTCATCTAGCTACTACCGAAATACAATCGTTCATTTTCAGTATATCCTTCACCCCTAATCAATATATTATTTTCCTTTAAATTAAATCACATTTTTTCGTAAAACTAACAGTGAACTAATTTAATGAGGTATTGTATAAACATTAAATAAACCTTATGCAATACCTGTCTCATTCATCTACCCAAGAGGTTTTCGAAAGCAATTCCCAAAACTGGCCAAAAAATTTTCTCACACCGCACAACCAAAATTCCAGAAGGTTTGAATTTGCTTTCGAAAATAAATAACCTACTGTTATCACAATATGTGACAAGTACTCCTAGAACCGAGACTCCACTCCCTGACCGTCTGAATCCTCATACTAGGGTTTCAGTCTCTTAAAACCAGCTCCATCTTGTCCCAATTTGAGTTCTTCATACATCGTTGGGTCGACTTCATGCTGAGCGGGAACCTGAAGGGCTTCATTTTTCCAACCCGGCCCTCCTGAAGAAGATGATACGGAAATACCATTGGCTGTACCGTTAGAAATGGGTACGGATTCAGACTGACCATTTGGCACCTGAAAAAAAAATTGCCTTGTATGACTTCGAAAAAAGAGAAAAGAGGGGTAATTTTACTGACGTTATTGATGAAGTTTCTATGATATAGCAGGTTTCTTGAATATAATCACTTAAAATCAATGACTAAACCTGTCTATCTTTACGAACTAGCCACCACGGATGTTTTCAACAAAATCAGAAAAAATGCCATTGTGGAAAGAGGTGTTGATTAAAGATACCGTTGTTTTCAGTGCCTCAATTGGAAGATTTTGAATAATTTATATGGAGATTCCATCATAATCAGTTGCATTTTTATTCTGTATATTCATCAAAATTTCTACTAATTCACTAATACTTGTATCATAAAAAGTTAGGTTATTCTCAATTTTGACATCTTCAAGATTCAATAAGGTATCGTAAGGTACCTACCTCTATATGATCTCTAAGGTTTTTTGCAATTGAACAATAATAATCATTGATTTTATCAGGACTAAGTGATATTCCCACATGTTTTTTGTTTTATTTTCCCGTAATATTACTGACAGCAGACCACGCTTCTTTCATTTCATTAGTTGACTCACCGATTTGGTTATCATAATGGATTTTCTTCGCTTTCTCGATAGTGGATCTATATATTCTGCGGTAGTTATTGAAGAAGTCATGGAAGTTAGGATTGTCAGTAAATTTTCGTATGTTAGGTATGCAGTGTACGTAAATTTTTCGAAGAAATTTTTAATCCTCTTGTAATCCGAGGCTTTTTTTGACTTTGATTTTCTGCATGGGAAATGATTCATGAAATACATTCAATAGCGCGTTGCGAAATGCGAGGAAAGGTTCACTTAGGGACAGCATACCCCAGTTGATCTTTAGACAATTCTGATAAAACCTATTGTGATTTGTTCTACTGTCTCCCAAACTTAAGTTTGCTTTTTGTAATTAATAAGTCAAGACGTACAGAACGAGTAATTGCTTCTCATGATCTGATTAACCTGGTGGTTTGTTTGAAGGTGATTGACAATATTTCATGATGAATTTCACTAGTTCGGACTTTCATTGTCTAATATATAAAATGGTTTGAAATCCCTGAAACAACTAAAAAAGAAGAATTGAAAATAAATAGCTGTAAATAACAATTATATTAAGCAAAAAAACCTGAAATGAAATGATAGTGAAATAAAATACAAGTAAATATAAAACAATTGAACAAAAAATGAGAATAAAGAAATACAAAATGAAAATGAAGATAAAAATAAAGAAGTTAAAAATGTTCTGTACATGAAAATTACTGCAAACATAATCAATACAAGAGCTAGAGAATTGGGAAACACAAGTGTCTGAATCCGGTAATAATTAGCTCAGGTTATTGAAAAATATATCTACATTGGCAGAAGGTGAACAAACTCAAACGATTTGTCTTCGGACAAGTCTTTTCCACCTATTAACTCGAACAAAATCAGTTCATCAATAGCCGAGTTCCTAATCTATATTACAGTATCTACATGATTATAACAGTTTCTGGAGTATCTAGATATTACAGTATAGTTAGAAATGCTTATTGGTTCAAGCTTATTACATCAATGTTATGTAAGCAAGACCATTGTAGGAAAATTCAAGTTACTTAAAAATATAAAAAGGTCATCTATTTTGTTCCGAAGGGACTGAATGTTCTTAGTGAGACTAAGGTAATAGAGTTACAATTAGAGAAATGATTACAATTGTTATGTTCTTCAAATGATCTTTTTGGACCAGATTCATCATAGGAACTCTAAGAACAAAGTTTTCTTCCATCATCTAAACTTGTTTTGGAAGAAAACTATATTCTCAGCGTTCCTATGATGAATCTGGTCCAAAAAGATTATTTGAAGAACTAAACAATTGTAATCATTTCTTTAATTGTATCTCCATTACAGTAGTCTTACTCATTACAATGGGGTCAAGATGTTTAGTCAAGACAGGCAAATTTTACCAACAAAATGTTGGTCTATATAAGGGTTCTATAATGATAAATTCACCTGACAAAATGTGCATATTTGAATCAAGGTTATATAAGATTTTTGTTTATATTCTTGTTCAGATGTAAATGTTTGATTGTCTGGTGCAACGGATGTGTTTATTTATGTGAAATTATATATAAGAATATATGTTTATATGTCTATTATATAAGGGTTGATAATATTTTTGAACAAATCTGTTCACAACCACGTTGATACAAAATTTTGGCGTTGAACTATAGTGTATGTTCTAACTTTAATTTTTTGTAGGTGTTTTTATGTTCACACTTTATATTTCCATAGTTACATTTGTATTTATTCTTCACAAGCTTTGCCCACAACATTTATTCTTAATGACAATAAAGTATACTATTATTATTATTATAATGACATATTCATCAATTATTACTTGAGATTGATTTGAAAGGATGTTATTCACGCCTAATCACAATAAGTATTTTTTCATCATCAACAAAATAATTCCACCCTCACCAACTTCAGATAATATTGTTGCGTTGACAACCAGAAGAAAAGAATGACATGATTAAGGTTGGGGTGACATGTAGGTACAGAAAGAAACGTATTCAGACAATACTTTTTATTGTGAGATTTTCACTAAACAGTTTTACAAAAACGCAACTTGTGTTTCGAAAGATGTGTCTTCACATCTACATATTCAATGCTAGATATACCTAATTTTACAATTTCAAGTACCCGAGTTTCACCTGTAAAATTGCAAAATCATGATTATTGTTATTTTTCGTAATGGTTAAGTCAAGGTAATCTATTCAATCATTCACCCTCCTTTCAGTGGTGAATTTTATTGACGGGTAGATGTAATTGACATATTCAACGAACTTGCCTAATTGCATATCTACACCAGTGAGCAGAATAATATAATAATCTACGTATCTGTAACAGTCCAAAAAACTGTTAGTTAACCGATTACTATGGATTTAATAATCTTTGTTATCCATGAAAATTTCAGCCAGCAAAGGACTCAAAGGGTTTCCCATTATTAGTCCTTCACTGCATGAATGAAGTTTTTCGTCAAATCGGAAATAATTTTGAGATAGATAAAGATGCGGTAACGTGAGTTCTAGGAGATTGTCATGTGTGGGTGAAACTATAAATAATATTGTCGGTTTTTTGAATAGAGAATGTGTAAACGTAGCTCATAGAACGAATGCAAGTCTTAGTTCATTCATTAAAGACTATAAAGACAAAACTTCGGTGTCGGATAAATCAGGAGTATATAAACTGACCTGTGGCTCTTGTCCAAAACTGTACATTGGCCAAACACGGAGAACATAGAACATAGAAGTAGTTTTGTAAATAGCAAGACCATTTCCACATTTTCAAACCACCTTACAGCAGGACATGATTTCAATTATGAATACCGCGTGTTACATTCAGAAGAGGATATAGTTGGTAAAGACATGCATAAAGAAGCCATTGTATGGCGAAACACGTGTTGCGTTTTTGTAAAACTGTAAGTGGAAACCTCACAATGAAGTGTTGTTTGAATACGTTATTCATGGATTTTCTTTCAAGTATCAACCAATTCCACCATATAAAGAGAAAAACAAGAGTTTCTGAGAAATCTTTTTCATAGTAGGAGAGCAGAGAAAGCATGATCACAAGTCAAAAAAGTCTGAGATGAAATGTAGATTTTCAGCAGGCAATGAAAAGAATGGAAGGAAAAAAAAGTTAGTTGAATGGCAGATGATCAAAATAGTACCAACTGAGGCATACCTACATAGCTGGTCAACGTGTTATCATGAACACACTTTCACGAGACAAGCCTATCGCATGGTGGAAATCTGAAGTTTTCTGCTACCAATTGATAGACATGGGTAATGTACCGTCGACAATTTGAGCAGCCAACCTTGTTTTTGGAGGATAGAAACGGCCACTGCCATAGTTCAAGAACAGTACACAAGTTAGTACACTAGAGCATAATCAGGAAAATATATCAACAATTGGTGGGGATTTTCCAACATTACAAAAGCAAATCAACCAATATAGCCTATTCTTAGGCTCCAAAAGAACATTTAGAGTCATTTCAAGTACAGGTCCCGATGATATCGAGATGAAGTTGATCATGGGGATATGTCAACATGTTATGATTCATCAGATGGAAAGAAAGATTGAGATCTGTCTAGAGCAGCTCTCCCAGGTCAGGTCACTAAGAAGAGAAACATTTCTTTCCCATTATAGATGACAGATAGCCAACGTTCAAGTGGAAGCATAGGTCACCAACGAGACATCAAATCAGTGTATCAAATGTATTTCATAGCTGTAAGATCGTGATTTCGAAGAGGCCCACAATCAGATTTTTTCTCGCAACAATCCATCTGGTTGAAGGCGGATTTGAGTCTGATACTACAAGTAGCACTACTAGAATTACTGATACGATTACGAATAGTCATGATGCTAGGCAGATGGTAAACATAGTCTAAGAGACTAACGACTGTAGTTAACGATGCCAAAAACACGAATACTTTTGTATGTATTGAGTCAAATGCAAATGAATGATGTTGAATAGCATCTATATTGAATTCTGAATTCCGATGAATCATTACTGCCATGCAAATATAACGTATCTGTAACAGTACAAAAAACTGTTAACCGATTACTATGGATTTAATAATCTTTGTTATCCGTGGAAATTTCAGCCAGCAAAGGACTCAAAGGGTTTCCCATTATTAGTCCTTCACTGCATGAATGAAGTTTTTTGTCAAATCGGAAATAATTTTGAGATAGACAAAGATGCAGTAACGTCAATTCTAGGAGATTGTCATGTTTGGGTGAACCTATAAATGATATTGTCGGTTTTTTGAATAAAGAATGTGCAAACGTAGCTCATAGAACGAATGCAAGTCTTAGTACATTCATTAAAAACTATAAAGACAAAACTTCGGTGTCGGATAAATCAGGAGTATATAAGCTGACCTGTGGCTCTTGTCGAAAACTGTACATTGGCCAAACACGGAGAACATAGAACATAGAAGTAGTTTCGTAAATAGCAAGACCAATTCCACATTTTCAAACCACTTTTCAGCAGGAACACACTCTCACGAGACAAGCCTATCGCATGGTGGAAATCTGAAGGTTCCTGCTACCAATTGATAGACATGGGTGATGTACCGACGACAATTGGAGCAGCCAACCTCCGTTTTTGGAGGATAGAAACGGCCACTGCCATTGTTCAAGAACAGTACACAAGTTATCACACTAGAGCACAATCAGGAAAATATATCAACAATTGCTGGGGATTTTACAACATTACTTAAGCAAATCGACCAATATGGCCTATTCTCAGGCTCCAAAAGAATATTTAGAGTCATTTCAAGTACAGGTCCCGATGATATCGAGATGAAGTTGATCATGGGGAAATGTCAACATGTTATGATTCATCAAATGGGAAGAAAGATTGAGATCTGTCTAGAGCAGCTCTCCCAGATCAGGTCACTAAGAAGAGAAACATTTCTTTCCCATTATAGACGACAGATAGCCAACGTTCAAGTGGAAGCATAGGTCACCAACGAAACATCAAATCAGTGTATCAAATGTATTTCATAGCTGTAAGATCGTGATTTCGAAGAGGCCCCCAATCAGATTTTTTCTCGCAACAATTCATCTAGTTGAAGGCGGATTTGAGTCTGATACTACAAGTAGCACTACTAGAATTACTGATACGATTACGAATAGTCATGGTGCTAGGCAGATGGTAAACATAGTCTAAGAGACTAAAGAATGTAGTTGTTAAAGATGCCAAAAATACTTTTGTATGTATCGAGTCAAATGCGAATCAATGATGTGGAATAGCATCTATATTGAATTCTGAATTTCGATGAAATATTACTGCCATGCAGATATCAGATGTATTCGAAGGTGTTTCTGAATATTTCAGAACTTTCATGATTTTGACTCACCTGTATGTGATCCATATTAACTTCTCTTAGATAACTTGGATTTTCGAAGGCGATTCCGTTAGAATTTTTTATTCCCAACATCTTCTTGTTTCTAACAAACCACACGGCACCAGCAAATATAGCAGTTACAACTGCTAGAGCCAATATCACTGCGACTATGACTCCCACGTGACCGTTTTGATCATCTTGACTGGCTGCAGAAGTTATATATTTGTCTCCCATTGTGAATTTCAATGGATCGGTTAGAGTGGATGTGCCCTTGCTGTTACCCGCTTTCACTACTACTTGATATGTTGCTCCAGCTGAAAAATGAAATAATAATAATGGTAATGATTTTGTTCAATATTTCTCAAAGTAATAAATTTACAGTGAACAGCAAGTGAATTGATATTCAAACCTCACAAAAATATTGAAATTCATAAAATTCAATTTACGAATGATAATTAGTACCATGAATATTGAAACAATATATGTATCATCAAAACAATTGGTTTAGTTGCAGAGACCTAACTTTCATAAGAATCTTCAAAAATAGTGTATTAATTTCCATATTTTCAGTGTCATGAAATTATTTTGATTTGGCTGCTTCTAACGAATTTATTGATTTGTGGTAAATAAATGATGATACGTGTGGAAAGTTTTTTTTCGACTTCACTTCGAATATTTCATCGTTAGTCTTAATTTCATTTCATTTCGTGTTTATTTGATTCAATCATCATGAGAAAATATAAAAGTGATTATATTAAAAAGAAACATTGCCTTGCATCTATTTTTTACTTTCAAAAAATAATTCAACTGAATAATATCTATTTTTATCGACCTTCTTTGGTTATTTTCACCTTTTTCTCGAATACTTATACTAAAATTATTTTTCAAGAAAAATACAATGTTCATACTAGGGAAAAAAGAAAAATACAAAAAAGAACGAAANTAATTGTTCCAAATCATAGGTATATGTTTCTCACCAGTAAGGTCTTGTATTTTGATACGGGTATCCGAGGTATCCTCTTTGAAACTGTCTCTGCCAAGCGAATCTATGCCTTTGATGATCACCCTGTACAATTCGACTGTGTGAGCATTTTTGGCTGGCGGGTCCCAAATTATTTCTACTGAGTGAGAGTCGATGAAATCAACATGAACGTTTTGGGGTGGTCCAGGAAGTTTGTCCCTAAAAAATTCAATGAAAAACTGAATATCATGTAGAATAGAACAGAAATTTATTATACTGATCAACAAACAAAATGTTTTCCATTTACATGATGCATAGTTTTTTTAATGGTCCTTACATATAGTATTTATTGAGTACCATTGATACAGTTAGAATATATATATATATATAAGATATAACAATTTGAATGGCAGAAGAACAAAATGACCGTAAAAACCTTCAGACATATTTCAGTATTCGAAGGAGTTGTCCCTCTGTAATACTGTAATACAGTTCCTCACCATTTTTTTAATTGTTTCGAGACATTGTTGAAGAGAAAACACATTATTCAAGACACGAAACAGATTGTATCTTCTTCTCAGTTTTACACCAGGTACAATAAAATCAATAGTGAGTTTCAGGTACTTTCAGTTTTCTAAGAATGTTATGAACAAAAATCACTTCCGAAGACTCACGGCGATCTTTCAATGGTTGCATATTAAATTCTTGTAATTGGCTAGAATATGATATAAATAAAGGTCAGACATTATGTTTTATGTGGAAGAGTGTTTTTAAAAATCGTTTCTGGACTTTTCTACAGTATCAGAATATGAAATGGTTTTTGGATTCCAAATGACACAACCACATTCCAGCTCAGAACGAACAATGGAGTTGAAAAGTAACAAACAAATATCGTGATCGAATTCACTATAAATCTCATGTCATATACATACAACGAAATCTTGTTCTATACTCACGTTCAACCCACGAGTGGTTTATAATCAACAATACATACAATAATATATCTTCAATATAAATTGTTTTAATACACTCCACACAGATCAGTGTTCTCAATGATTGGAAGATAAAAAGAGTTCTCATTGTTCTTCCAGAAAATTTTCCGTTTTCTGCTTTTATACTCCCATTCAGACCAAGAGTCGAAGATGAAATTTTTGAGGAATTTGTACAAAGTTCGAACCATCTTTTTACAAAGAAATACTTTCATAAGTGAGTTGGTGGGTGTAGCCGTTACTACACGGTAGGAAATCATAATAAATAAAGGAGAGTTGAAACTTTCTATGCTCTTACCATGTAAGTACCGTTACTGCTCAATGTATACATTGAGTAGATGATCATTTCATTCCGAAGCACTCTGATCATTTGTCCTTATTTATCACCCACTTTGATTTTATTATTTCCCAGTTTTATTCCTTTCTCAATAAATCACTTGAAATCTATCCAACTATTTTAATTCAACAACATTAAGGTTGAGTTATTACACAACCCAAAACTCAAGTTATCTCCTCGTTGCCAAGCTAAATGATACATTTTGCTTTCATTTGATCTCTAATGAGTCCTTATGGGGTGTTTTTGATGAAAACACTCTTAATAAGCCCCCCCTGTGAGTGACGGTATTTTGAATTGAAAAAGGAATCAACTGAAGTCCACTATATTCAGATTTTCAACATATAAAAAACGGTAGACCAGAAGATGTCTCAGATTTTTCTTGGAAGGTTTTCAAAGTAGATCTTTTGTGGTATTCAGTGGATAATTTGAAAGATCTACTCATGTTTGATTCAATTATTTTTCAGATGACATCAATGAATGCCTGATATCAACAGCCTGAAGCTGTCTTTGAATCAAAGATGGCTTTTTATTCTGGTAACCTTTTTCTTCGTAATACTTTTTGATGATGATGATCATTGACTAGTTGGTGCAGTTTTGAAACTTGGGGAAGGGATTTCAATAATGAGTTTTCTGTAAGTAGTAATGAAATTGAATATGAGGGAGCCGATAATTTCTCCTCCATCAGAACTACCAACCATCAATATCAATTGAAGTATTCATTTTCGAACACAAAGCTTATTTTTATTATCAAATATGTAAAATTATCATGAAATAATTCAAATTCATACATGAATTGGAAGATGTTCCAACCTCAACTTCAATATTCTAAAACAAAAACACTCAGTACTCAGTAATATCGCAAGTTTATAGACATCGAAATTGATACGATCACAGAATATAGGTGTACCTCAGAGCTCGATCCTCGGACCAATACTCTTCCTTCTATATGTAAACGACTTATCCAAAGCTTTGAATCTGGGTGGTATATACCAGTCCGCAGATGACACATCAGTCATTATCACAGAAACTAATACATCAGAACTCTCAACCAAAGCTTCTGCCATGTCAAATGATTTGGTCAAAACAGGACTTGTGAACTTTTAATGAATATCTATATGTGAAACTCCAAAATAAGTCTGTTCCAATATCTGGTCACACTAAATTCTTAGGTATCACGATGGATGCAAACCCAAATAAACTTTTTAAATTACAGATTAAGCTCTATTTGTGTTGTGATACGATATTTGAGGGTCAAATCTCGTTCCCCACAACGGATTCAATATCCCCCGGAGCGTAGGGCAACACCGGTGTCTCGTCAATACCGTAAGAGTGCCGTAGATGGTAAAACAATCACCAAATCCGCAAACTTTGCACATATTGCATACTGAGCATTTCACCCCAGTACATTGACCGGATAAAAGTTGCAATGTCGGCGTATAAATCTTCAAAAATATTGAGGGAGGTCAAGATCATAGACAGACAGTGTTGTGAAATTCATTCAGTATCTATTGATCGTCAGGAATGGTTCCAGCAATGCAGCAATCCTTTCCTTCGATCCTGCTGGGTGGCAGTATAATGTGATTTTGGTGATTTATTGTATTTCTGATAAACATTTTAGAGTTAGACTAAGTTTATTACTCAAGTATTTTCCCCGTTTCTTCACAATAATGATTTAATCAAGTTTAAAAATGAGTTCTTTCATTATCTGGATGAATAATGAATGGGTGGAACAGCGAATAAAATCCTCTCGTTGATAAGCCAAGCGAGTACTGAGTTGCGACATTATTAACTACAGAACAAACAACTCACCTTCCTTCATGGAAACAGCTCATGATCACTTTCGTGTACGACAAAACACAGATCTTATTATTCAACACAGGTTCTCCCCGACACCAATCTAAACATCTCCTGGGTACATTCTGCTGGGCACAGCAACTTCTGTGGTCCGATCCATCTGCCGCACACTTCATCAGTTTATCGAAGTCTTGAATACACTCAGGCTTATCGATAACAGCATCAATATCCAAGTACAACGTACAGGCATCCATACAAGAGCTAGTAACATTTTGTTCGATGCAGCATTGAGTCACATTATTGTATGCTGCCAGACTTCTGATTCGCACAGAGACAGGTTTGGTTGAACTACCAAATGCGTTTTCCGCATGACAGTAGTATTCCCCGACATCCGCATCCTGGATTTGTTTGATAGTAAGTTGCATAACGTACTTATCTACCTCATCTTTCATGGGTCGGGTGCTGATGTCATATTTTCCACCTTGTATCACAGGGGAGCGTTCTTCGTGGTTCCGCCAGAATATCATTTTTGGTTCCGGCTGGGCTTCTACTTTGCATTCGAGAGTAACTGAGTCTCCTAAAGTTGTCATTGTTATACCACTCGCCTGAATGTGCGGTCCATCTGCAAATGAATTCTCCAATGAACAATAGCTATTCTTCTTGAATACTCTGTATATCCATAGGATATCTGTGTCATGTCCAACGGATGTTCTATGTGTTATCCTAGGATGTTCAGAGGCCACTGTATTTAAATTTCATAGGATATCTTTCAGGTTCGGAAGACACTGACTTGGACATCCACAGGATATCTACTATGGATATACATAGAATATTCATTGATGACGTGTGTTTTTATTCATTTCGGCTCACCGTATAGATATTTGGAAGAGCAATTGTATTTTTTCATGTATTGAAGTTGTGTTGATCTTTTTTCAAAAATTTCTACAAAACCAGAAACAGAAACCGTAAATCCTTATCAACATTTCCAATACGTACATATTATATCTTCATGGTATGAAACAAAATGCTGAATGAATAGAAATTGTTTTCATTGAACAAATTGATGGATGTAGCCATTACTACGTGGTAGGAAATCATAATGAAGAAGAGAGAAATGAAACTTACTACGTTTTTTAACACTTTTATTTGTAACTAACGTTAATTTGTTTATTGTATGAGTTTCAAATGAAAAAAATTACAAATATAAGTGGTAAAAAACATAGAAAGTTTCATTTCTCATTTCTTCATTGTTTTTATTGAAATGAGTATGAAACAAAATGATACTGTCCACACATGGAATATTGAATAACGGATAAACCTAATACTAATATACAGGGTGTTAATTGAGTATGTAGCATAAATTCAACAGACGATTCTTTATGTAATTTTTAGACGAAATGTTCATATAAACATGGGTCTGCAAATCCTCCATTCTCAAGATACAGGGTGTTAGAATTGAAAACCAAAAGTTATTCGTAAATATCTTGAATATCCTTCACCTAATTTTGATGTTATTTCTCAATGGTATTTATAACATTGAGGTGCTAATTTAGCACCAACGTGATTCAACTTATTAAGTCCAGTGGCGTGTCAAGCGGGATTTGAACGAATATTTTTGACTTAGTAATGTACGCCACTAACCTCTGTGCAATTTTCATTATATCTTTGGATCAAGCAATCAGAAATACAACTTTTTTGTATTTTAAATTTTTTACGTATCTTGCTTAGTTTGTAAGAAAACAAAGTCGACCTTGTTGTTACATAATTAGTAATGAAAAATTGTTAAAATAATAATTTCCAAAAGAAACATTTAATTCCCCATATTATTCCTTGTGAGGTCCAAGGATATGCAATTAGGTCGAGTTCTGATTGCTTAATCCACAAAAGTCGGTGGCGTACATTTTTAAGTCAAAAATATTCGTTCCAATCCCGCTCGGGACGCCACTGGACTTAATAAATTGAATCACGTCCGGGCTGAAGCAGCTCCTTCATATTATAAATACCATTGCCAAATTACAACAAAATTAGGTGAAGGATATTTAAGATATTTACCAATAACTTTTTTTTTATTTTAATTTTAACACCTTTTATCTTGAGAACGAAGGATTTGCGGAACGATGTTTATATGATCATTTCGTCTTGAAATTACCTAAAGAATCGTCTGTTGAATGAATTTATGGTATATACTCAATTAACACCCTGTATAAAAAACAATTAATTTTCTTCCCTCATTTGTTTCTTCTGTGTTGCGCTTTTTTTCAATGTTATTCTTATGCTGCCTCGGAAGGATAACATAAGTGAATGGTTTTGATCTAATTGATTTTTGTGGAATCATGGACATTGTTCTGTGATTGAACTGAATATTTGTTTTTTTTTAGGACAAAATACAAGAACTACAAAAAAATCGTTAAGGCGCTCTAAGAGCGGTGTCCATTTGAAAATACGTTCTCAGGAAGTTGATTCTACATGAATGCAGTTGTCCAAATGGAAGACTTCCCAAACGGTGTAGTTTGAGGTGGAACTGAGATGAGACTCAAAACGATGAGCAGCCACAGTCCATCTCCAACCTTTTTTCATGTTCCATGTTCATGTTCATCAAGGTTGCAAGTAATGTTCGTGTCTACAACCAGGCGGACGACCCTTTTCTATATGGAATCCAACAGGTACAGGGAATCCTTAGGGGCGGAGCTCCATGAAGACAATTATCTATTTGAACCCTCAATGAACCTATCGAAGCAAAAAGCAGAATTGTCTGTCCTGACTTTATTATATCCGGTTCAGAAACATTCATCTTTTTGGATAAAACCGATGCCTGGGTTTTTGTGGCATTGGATTGAACCTGGTTACCTCCAGCCTAATTCGAAATCACTTCTAGATCCCCATTGAGGTATGCAACCTCCTGCTGCCGGTAAAGATGTGAATCCGGCCTACACAAAAATGGAAAGCCATACACAAATATGTTCAGACAAGCCATAGCATCGTAGTTTGACCAGCAAACCTCCATACCACCCAAGGTCAAAGGCCTTAGAAATATCAAGCGCAATAGCGCAACAGCTGTCCATGTAGCTCCAACAAAATAACCTTTATCAATTGTTGAAGTTTGGAAGTTCCTGTTGTAACACCTTATATATGTTTAGGATGAGCGGTTTTCAAAACATGTGGAAGAATGTCAAATGTGTCATTCAAAAAAAAAGAAACAGCTCTTTGTATCTCTAATGTGACCAAGATTTTGGAATATTTCGCTGCAACATACAGCAGGAAAGGTTAATTTACCGAGAAAGTATTTTGTTTCGGTAGGCATTCGCCAGAACCTTCTGTGTAAGTAGTCGGAAGGGATGAATGTCTCATAATTTCAGTTTGAAATATTTATTTTTTTTGAAAAGTCTATGCATATTTCCATATTTTCTATACATATTTCCACTTTGAATTTCCCTGAAATGAAAGCCCAGTATTTCTTGGGTAACTTGAAATTGAGGTTGAATTGTTGAGGAACATTTATGAAACACTTTTACAGTATCACAAGTAGCAAGAACTTTAGTTGTCACATGATAACAAAAGACCTAATTTGAACTAGGAGAAGAATGGTCGATTCAAATCAATTTTCAACAACCGAGGGTGAGATTTATTTTCTATTCTTTCTCACGTGAAACTAACGAGAAAAGTTCAGTGAAAGAAGAGGATTTTCGAAAGACGGAAATCTCGACTTTTTCTCACAAACCTTCGTTAAAAATTACTTACTTCAACAAAAGCCGGATAAGCCGGATCAGTCCAAGCTATGAGAGTCTCAGACGGCATACTGACTCCTTTATTTGTAACGGCTTCTATGTAGACGATATACTTGGTGTTTGGATTCAAACTGTCGATCATGTACGAGTTTACGGAGACGTTCTTCACATGGAATTGTTCTTCTGAGGTAGACTTGTGGTATAACCTGAAAGAATATAATCAATACAGTTTTCCATCTGCAACATGACTATCATGAAAATAGCTTCTTTGAACCAAAGAAACATGCGTGTTCTAGAGAAAATAATGGAGTGTAACAAATCATATGGAACAATAAAAATAACGAAATTATAATTTTGTATATCAATCCAAACCCATGTTCAGTTATTCATAATAACAATTTCACAATTTTCATGCTACTAATTGAATTCCAAGTTGGACTAGTAACGGTTCAACTGATGAAACTACCGTTTAGAGAAATTCGTTTCAAATTAACGTTATAGTGTGGAAATTGTATTATCATGTAAAGTGTTATTGATTTCCATAAAGTGAATGAATCAGTGCATTTATAGTATGTTCCATGCTGTTTGAATTGATATTTTTCTGACAAAAATGAAATACTTTGAACCAGTAGGTATCTTTCAATCCAGTGGTGAAAATATTGCTCTTTATATGTTCGGTCGAAGTACAACGAAGTGTTACTTCAAAGGAGTAAAATTGTTTTTCACCCAATTCATCCTCCTGGGTCATATAGGCCAAGAGGTAAAACGCCATCAAGGTCCGTTATTAGAGATTTTTCATTTTCTATGTTGAATAGAAGAATCTGGGAAAAACACGACCTGAAACCAATATTTAGCCCAACCAAAACCATTATGGAGAAACTGAAGTTAACTGACGACCTCAGAGAGTCTTTGGCAGCACCCGCGTACACCGGTTTCCTTTTTGCTGCTGGTTGGTCTACATTGGAACAACGCAAAGAAGTATAGGTACTCGTGTTACTTACCTCCTCTCCACATTTTTCTGGAGAGAGAGGCTAGATGGACTGTATATACACTTGTGAACATTGCCAATTGCACAAATCAATTTAATGCAGACTGCAACAAACTGTCAGTTGGATATGACCTCTGACTTTATGTTTCCAACTGTCTACTACGAACTGTCTTATAAAGTACTGTTCCCGATTACCTTCCGGTTCTGGTGCAGGTGTTTTCAGTCGCAGACCCAGGACAGAGATATCAACCTGCTTAGGAATCTATGCGACTGTATTTCAAGCAGAAATTTACGCTATTGAATTGTGTGCGGATTGGAAGTCAATAAAAATATTATCAGACAGTCAAGCGGCGTTGAAAGCTCTTGAATCCTACCGAGCAACGTCTGAATTGGTAGCAAATTAATAAAAACGACTCTCCTTGATAGGAAGACTCAACAGACGACTTTCTCTGGTCTGGATTCCTGGCCATACTGGCCTGAAAGGCAATGAGGCTGCTGACTCGCTTACAAAGGAGGGTGCTGCAAGGAGCTTCATCGAACTAGAACCTGTCATTGGCATTGATTTAGGCTTCGTCAAACGAAGTTTGAATATCTGGATGGACTTCTGGCAGAATCTTCCAGGATTGGCTCACTCCAAGGCGTTTATTCGACCTTCGAAGCTTGATACCAAATAGTTGTTGGACTACAGTAGGGATGAACTACAATAATAATTAACAGGTCTTCTGACAGGTCTCTGTCATTTGACAGTGTCTGTCGCCTCCGTTGGGAAAATGTTACAACAACAGAGCACATACTTTGTGCCTGCCCTGCTGAGGACCGCATTAGACCCAATAACTTTGGACCTAATTCAATCTAATTCGTCTCACTCAACAAAGAAGATAGGCACATCAACTTATTTGAAGATACAGT